GATAAGGAGATAAGTAGAGTTCAAAAACAAAGAGGGCAGTTTCGGAATCCAAACTTCAACCATTCCAAATCAGATTTTAATTAAAAAAAAACTTCAAATTCACAATTAAAACTTAGACAACGTGACGTTGTCAAATTTTTGCCAAATTGGCGTTGTTTAGAATACGCGATCCTTTTTATCCTCTATTCCTCTTAAGATGACTGAAAAAGGGAAATATTTTCTGAGTGATATGATGAACTAATTGCGAAGACATATATTGTACTTGGATGTATTGAAGGTACACAGGTGACATTGTTGAAAAAGAGATTGTGAAAAAAAGAAGAAAATTTGAGGCATGCATAGGAACCCGAATGGTGAGCTGAAGCAAATAGAGAGGGAAGAGAAAGGAAAGCAATAGTAGAATGTGGAAAGACTAGAAATAAGCTTTGAATTTAAAAACGAATGAATGTTTGTGAAGATGTTGGGTTGGTCATATTAAATGTTAGAAAAAGATGGAGGCAGTGATAAGAAGAGAGAATCTGTGTGTGTGGTGAGAAGGGGAAGCAATGGAAGTGTGTGGGTTGTGGGTTTTGGTGCAGTGAGTTGAGTGGCAGAATGAGATGGAGTTTTTAGTATTGTGAAGGTTAGTGTTGGCGGTGTGAGAGAACAACGGGGCAGCGAATTATAAAGCCCAAAATACGGGTCAAACAAGAATGGATGCTGCCACTACCTTAGACTCTAAGCATTCCTTTAGTAATTTAATCCACCACTCCATATAACACTCTTCCTCTTCTCTCTTTCCCTCCGGTTCACCACCCACTTGATAGTAACATTTCTCAAAACCCTAAACAAAAAGCAATACTCATTCCCTTATTATTACTTAACTGTAATCATGCTTTCATTTCGTATACTAATATACTGCATAATCTAATTAACTAAGCTTCCTTTCTGTTTTGAAAGCTCGGTTTTTGGTTTCTTTGTATTAAGTTAAGGTGTGCTTCAAGGGAAATGCAATATGTGCATTGTGAAGGACAAATTTAGTTAAGCAGGGTTACTGTCTCAGTCATCCACAAGGAATTAAAAATGTTAGATTGTTAAATGAGAAAACGATCTTCCCTTATGGAAACTTGGGTGAAATGTCTCCTATATCATCATACCTCTGCATCAAATTATGAATCACACAATTGAAACAAGTCTTTTTCTTCTCAAGATTATCAACTTATCTTGAAAGGTGTCCAATCTTTTCTTATTGCAGTGACACGATATTAATATTAATTCAGGGGGAATCGTTTTCGGCTGAGTTCAAATTTGGAACCAATTTCATAATCATCAAATTAAGGAATCAATAAATCTGGGTTTCTAATAAATCCTATGATGGTTGCTGTATGTGTTTCCTTTAAAGATTGCCCTTACTTTCTTCATGCTGAATGTGATGTGCGTGAGGGCTATATCTATATATACCTTTTCTGTCAAACATTTTCCCAACTTAATAAGCAGCAAATAAAAGAAGAAACTTGAAGTTTTTCGACTTATAGAATAAACAAAAGATCATATGTTTATGTAATGGTATAAATCTCCATTAATAAGAATATAAAAAGAGGTGTAGTTGTGGAGGACTACTATAATAGGGTGAGTGATGATATAAATATACATCCATATATATATATATATAGTCTGCAGTGTCATGTTATAAGGGTCAGCTTGCGGTTTCTACACGGTGATTGGATGTAATACAGTTTTTGTTCAAAAGAAGAGCAACTATATAGAATATTCCGATCTGAATGAGGGGTGTTTTGAATTTGAAAAGATAGTTTGAAATTGTGGAAGTGCAACTCCGGTTTAATGTTTATTTAATGTGTAATTAATTACTTGTGTAAAATATATCTATATATGGAGTCGTTTTTTGGCAGTGAATAAGATGATATTAACACAAACATACTGAAATTAGAGATAATATTAATTATATGTGAGCTTAAAAAGAATGGCACTTTGGTGTACCTGCCCTGAATAAGAAGCAAGAACCACATGCATGGCGGCAATTGAATCAGAAAGTTGATTAAGAAAGTCAAACACATTTAAGAAGTCACACGTGAGCAAGCACTGAATGAGCTGGCATTTGTACAACATAAACATTTAAGATTATCAAACATTTCGATTGTTTTTTTCTTAAAAGTAATCTATAATTCCTGAAATCCTCCTTCATAAACCAAGAGAGGTTTAAGACATCCATGTAATTGAAATAAGTCTTTTCTTTTTAAATAAATATAGCTGGACTTGTCCTTTTGTAGTATACCTTGCCTTTTAAGGACACTCATTTTCTACCTCTATTTTCCTTTCTTCTTCACTTTCTGAACTCTCTAAGCAGCACCTATCTCTATATTCTCTCCCTAAGCTGAATCCTACTTCATAATCAGAGGGCATGCCTGAATGTCCAGAGAAAGGTAAGACACATAAATCTCTTTTCTATTATCTTTCTTATATATGTTTCTTTTCAATCATGCAATAAGTGTATTGTTGTGGTGCAGGGAGAGATTTGATGAGATAGGGAAGAAGATCAAAAGGGAAGGAGATGTTTCTTCTCAAATGGGAAGAAGACACATGTTAGGCCCTCCTGGAACCCTAAATACCATCACCCCTTGTGCAGCATGTAAGTTGTTGAGAAGAAGATGTGCCCAAGAATGTCCCTTTTCACCATATTTCTCTCCCCATGAGCCTCAAAAGTTTGCTTCAGTCCACAAAGTTTTTGGTGCCAGCAACGTCTCAAAGATGCTCATGGTAAATATATCTGATTAATAATACGATATGTGTGTATATATAAACTACTCTAGATTTTAATCATATTAAAATGTGTTGTTATAGGAAGTACCAGAGTGTCAGAGAGCTGATGCAGCAAATAGTCTAGTTTATGAAGCTAATGTGAGGCTAAGAGATCCTGTGTATGGATGCATGGGTGCAATTTCTGGTTTGCAGCAACAAGTTCAATCTTTACAAGCTGAACTTAACGTAGTGAAGGCTGAAATACTTAAATACAAACTCAGGGAAGCTCACATGATACCCTCCTCTCATGTTGCAATGCTTCCTTCGTCTGGGGTTGTTTCAATCGCTGCTCCACCTCCACCACCTCCTCCACCACCTCCACTTCCACCTCCTTCTATTCCTCAAACTTCTTCCTCTTCTTCCATGTACATCCAACTCAGAGATCCCACCACTTACTCCACAATTTCAAGTGATAATATCTCCTATTTTGGTTAAACTTGCAGCCTGATAAAAACAATTATTCCATTTTTTTCTCTCTTAATTATCATCATGCATCAAGGTGGAATAAAGTGAGTTAAGAAAAAGGAGAGTATTCATACTGAATGTTGTTAATTATGACCCGGCTGTACGTTTTCCCCCCCATTTTATTATCTTAATCCATATGATTAATATGCCCAAAATTTCCCCTTGATAATATATATATATATGGCTGATTAAACTTTAATTTCTTCTACACCTTCTTAAGCCAGATTTCAAATTAATTGCTCCTTGTTACTGTGATTAACTGTTTTTCTTCCCCACCCTCTAGTACAACCGATGTAGACACAATGCCAACTTGATATATACACATGCCAATTTTCCCTTCATTATTTTATGATGCAAAGGACAATAAAGAGGAAGGAAACTTGGTTTATATTGCATTGGTATTTCAGTTTGGTTTTGGAAACATTGCAATAATATTGTTGGTAGAATTCATTTTGCACGTGATGACTGTGGTTCCTGACTATAACCTTTCTTAGACATGTTAATCTGTGCCACTGAGTATCTGAGTTTGCTGTCTGAAGTTGCGGGAGACAAAAGGTATGCTTGTGATCTTCACCATGTTCAGTCACTCTTAACTTCTGAGAACTTTCGTTTATATATATATATATATATATGGAAATTGGGAAGCATAATTTTACGTCAAGTTATCTACCCATTTATCTACCCATTTGTATTATACAGTAAAACTATATTATATTAATTGCTGTCCTTTGTAGCAGTGGCATATATATTGCTAGTTTCAGAATTGAGTTTACTTCCTGTAGATATTAATTTTTTTTTTTCTCGGTTTCAGTTTCCTTTTACCTTGGATGGTCGATTTGATAGAGGAAAATTTTAAAGATTTTAACATAAATCAAATTAAGCGAACTTTATATATCAACAGACACAGACCTAGGAGAAGAAAATGGATTAACGAGGATTTTAATGTCAGATTCATAACGCATTGACCGCATAAAAAAATGATAAGGTGAGCCACCACACCAATGTTAAGACATTCTTATTTTATGTTTTAGTATGGCTTTGGAATATATGATGCGACTCATCATCGGTGACTGATCTCTCATCTTTGATCAATATCTTTAAATGTTAGTCGAATTCGATAGTTCAAATTAATTGCACACGTGTTATAGTATATAAAAAATAAAAAATGTTAATTGCACATGCAGACACATTCTAGATTTTCTTTGGATTTGCTCAATATGGAATAAAGGGGCGAAATATTGATCCCAAAGAATGAACATATTAATTTTCATTTCATATTGTGCATTGAAGTTTGATAATAGAAAAATGGTTGAAATAAATAGGTGAAATTAAGGTAGATATTGGTTACGTATTTGTTGGATGGTCATACTCCATTGCCAGCTATTATTTAATTTGTAAAGAGTTGAGTTTCCTTGGCGTGAGGTTTTCATATAGTCGAAAAGGGAGACAAAGGGAAACTCTTAGTCGTATAAGCAAGAAATATGAAGAAAAAGACTGCCACTTTCTTTCGTTTCATACCTTTCTTTTTTGCATGATGCCCAAAACCATTCATGTACATATATATATATATATATATATATATATATATATATATAGATGTGACATGTATTGGTCCCATGTCATGATTGCTTCAACTCGTGGCATCTTCTTTGTGTTGGCACAGCCCAATCATCACTACTTTTAACATTTGAAAACCTTAATTAAGGTGAAGTTTTGGCCTAATTGAAATTAGTGAATACTGTGGCTAATTTAATAGTAGAGAGATGCATTATGTTATCTGGGTGCATTATTTATTTGTGTGTTCTCGAATTCATAATCGATGCATGTGTGGGAGAAGGAATGCATATGCAAATACTTGGATCTCACTCAACTACTGCAATTGCCAACATCATATCTATACTAATAATATTATTTTTATTTTATCAATGCTGATTACCATATTTTTCACTTACTCTATATAACTTCATCTTCATCTTAATTTTTCCTTTTTAAACAAAACAAATTTCAAAAAATATTTGAATTTCGGATCATTACTTTAAAACTCTCTCATCATCGTTATTTTTCTTTTTCTTTCATACTATCAAGATAGTAAAAATTGAACCTAAAACTTTGTAAATTTCATTTAATTCTCATCACCAAACTGATTTTACAAGTTACACTGGTACAAAAATATTATTTAACTCCATCTAATATGTTTTAAGAAAAATAAAATCTATAAAAAGTACGATGATATTTTTCAACTTATAGGTTTTAATTTTTTGAGAAACCATAATATATACCATGAATAGACTTTGGTATTTGGTTATTGAGCAACCACTACCTATATATTTTTAATAACTTTAAAAATGTCACTCTTTTTTAAAATGTTTATATGAGTAATAGAGGTATTGACTTCAGTTCTTTGTAAAGCTAAAATCTTTACCTTGATTAATGATAAACTTAAGTTATTAAGCATTTGCTTCTTATTTGTTTCTAAGAATTTAAAACATACCATTGCCTTTAAAAAGTACTTTATTTGAGTGACAAAGGTAGAGACTTCGGTTTTCTTTAAAACTAAAATCTATAATGAGAATAATTATCTATATATCTTTTATATTTTGTTAAGTATAGTCTTTTATCATGAGTTTGGTGTGGTGTCTAATGTTTTGTATTTTTTTATTTTTATTTTGATTTTTCATAAATTTTTATGTGATGAACAAATGATTTATGAACTTTGTAATATCAATATAGTTGAGATGCTAAAGTTCAGAGTGATGAATTTATTTCTATAAGTTTTTAACTAAAACTTAAAATAGTTATTCTAATATTGATTTAAAAAATTTATTTATTGAAAAATATTCTAAACTTATTTTTTCATTGATATTAGTTGAAAAAGAATTAACATTAATTAAAAATAATATTTTTTATAGTCAATATTGAAATATATGATAAACTTATTATTTAATAATATTTTTAAACAATAATAAAACCAAAAATTGTACTTTATCATACGCAAGGGTTAAATTTTATTTATTTTTATGATATTTAATGGTTATTATATATATATATATATGATTTATATGTGGCAGTTCTTCCCTACACCACCACACCTTCTTCCTACATCACCCCAATTTTTCTTAATTCTAAAAGTAATTTTAGGTAAATATTTGCTTTTAACTTACTTTTTTACTTTTTCTTTAAAACCAAATG